CCCAGAAAAGATGATAATAAACTGCGATTCCATACCAATCATTGGTAAACACTGAATCACAGAGCAACTCTAACACGTAAAAATATTAAACCCAGAGTAACACTAATTGTAGGGGGATAATATATCCAACGAGCTTTTCGGGATCAATACATTGTGTAAGAAGTAGCTCAGGAAAGGAGGCAAATCGCTACTATCTCGACACTATCGGTTTAGACAGGCTTTGAGAGAGAAGTTTACTGAGCAAAAACCACGAAAGTAACCATGTATTCAGTTTGAAAACTTGCAGCTAATTTGACACACCAACTTCTGCCAGACTGCCTGGGCCAGACGATCAAGGTTTTCTCTCGTAGCTCTTTCGCCATACTTGTCAATCAACTGCACCAGCGCCGGATCCAGCACAATTGTCCGAGAAACGTTGAGGGTGGACCGTGTGAGAATTTCAGCATCAACTCGCTTCAAAGTGGAGCTCGCTTCCATCACTTCCACTAAATCAATCCAGAGACGTTTTCCTCCGTGAAGAATCACGTTTGGCACGCGAGGATCTCCATGCACCAGGTTATTCGCGTGAAGCTGCCATAACAGTTCAAAGAGGCTTCGTACTTCTTGTTGTGTCCTTGGGCGAGGCAGAGGTTCCCCAACTGGAGACAGCAATAGTGCTGCACCTTCAGGAGTTATGACCTCTCCCACAAGACTTGTTGTCAAGCCTGTACGCTGGGCACACGTCAAGGCCTTCTTCTCTTGATAAAAATGTCCCACGGAACATTTCTCCACAAGTTTTAGTGCAAAAACCTCCCCTTCGCGTCGAATGACCTTAAACACGCGTCCATGAGCGCCACGACCAAGAAACGCATCGCCCTCCACCACGTCGACGCCCAAACACGAGCAAGCAAGAGTCAAGAGCGACACCCACGGAGATACGTTGTCAGTAATGAAGTTCCGAAACAATGATTTCGATCCGTTGTTGGTCCACTTTGCAATTTGAACTTTGACAACGACCGATTTGTGGCTTTTAATCAACCAAAATGAGCGGCGATCAAACAGAATAGCGCTTGCTGGTGCCTCGGGGAGAAGATTCTGTAGATATCGTGCCACTTGTCCAAACGCAGCTTCAGTTATGGTGAGCTTGCTTTCGAATAGAATGAGGCAGTCAAACAATTCGTCCTCTGCTACTCCAAACCGAAATCCACTCGGACGTGGCACTCCATCGTTTGGTACTGGCTTGCCACGAAACATACCGCGGTGAGTCGCAAATCCATCCGGTTTGAGATCTTTATTCTTGATCACAACTGCGGACTGGGACAGCCATTCATATCTCTCGCTATTGACGAAGACCATACCACAGCTGTGTAAGATGTCGCTGAAATACGGAGTAATAAAGGCGTCGAAATCAGTCTCATCCGTAATGGCGTCGGCTTTAATCTGAGTTTCCTCCGACCAAAATGCTTCTCCATCTCCTATTGGCGCAACTTCAATGATCAATTGGTCCTTTTCCAATCTTCGAAGCTCAAGTTGACCCAATGACGCATTAGAGTAGGAGTTGGACGGTTTGTGTGGCAAAGAGGCCACAAGTTGCTCAAGTTGCATTTCAAGCCGCATTTGCCGAACGTTAATTTCTCGAAACAGAGCCCATGAATCGTGTTCGCTCGTGGCACCTTCAGGAACCACCACCAGCACGTGAACAGGTGTGTTCATCGGCTCGACATCCTCTAGCGTGGGTACGAACTTGACGTCCTTCTCCGACAAGCCAACCAAGTTGAGCGGCGCTCCCGCAGCGCCCAATAGCTTCAAATCACTCGTGTCACTCACACCTTCGTTCAAGTCGTTCTCCGTCAGCCACGCTCCGGCGCCTTTCTCCGCCTTCGCCAGGAAGAGACGCAGGTCCTTGGCGTCGCAAGTGATCGTCGCTGGGTTCTTCCCCTTGATCACCTTCTTCAAGTCTCCCACCAGTTGACTCGCGTCGATGTCCACACGGAAAGCGCTTCCCGCCACTCCAACAACCGCACAGAAGAGCTTCACCATCGTTCCTCAAGCCGGCGGATTCTGGAATGAGGAAGGAGGGGATTTCCGCTCGTATTTAAGCGGAAATGAGGTTTGTGACTTCCAACAGGTCATGTGCTCCGAGCTTTTCTTTGCGGTATGAACAAACTACCGGTGTAATGTGCTGCGCTCAATGGAGCTTAGCATGATTTTCCTTTCGAACGAATACCTGCTTTTGTATGTAATCCAAATGTTGCTGTGTACGGTGCTTGGAGGTGTGGAGGAGACCTAAAATCGTATTTTATCTACTACCACTAGAAAGCGATGCTGACAACTTACTTTTCAACTCTCCTCTATTGCAAGAACCGCACACACACACACACACACACACACACACACACACACACACACGTTTGCAGTACCGACAATAGAAATAAACCTAGCTCGTTTGTGGACCCAGAGCTACGTTACTGCAAACATTGCGCCACAGATTCAATGCCAATGCGTCAAAGGGTAGCTACGCCCTTCGGGTTAACATCACAAACACTCAAGAACGAGAAGCACACAGTCGCATCATAATGACTTATGTGCATGTATCTATTGCATACTGATAATATTTGTTACTACTCGCTAAAAACAACTTTCTCACCATCTAAGTTAGTGTTTCTAGTTAAAATAATACTATTACTGCCCCAAATACAACGAAGTTGGCCTCGTGGTATTGCTTCTTCGCGATTTCGAATGAGGGTGCAACCAATGTCGCTTGGTCGTTAAGAAGATGGCATTTTAAAACCGGGCGTAGAAGCAACAACATACTACTTCCGTTCGGATAATGATGCACCTTCAAAAAGCTCTGCCTCGTTATTATTCGGCTTTGTTGTACAAGGCAAGGCAAGCCAAAAGAAAGGAAACGCTTGGCGTACAGTATTCTCTGGATTTTGTATCCAGAGTTTTAGCAGAGGTGCGATTCTGCCTAATAAACTATTTTTCTTTATTTCTAATACTAAGAAGAAAGGCTTGTACTCTCTTTGTGTCGGCGTTTGACTGTATGACTCGATGTGCCTGTAATATCAACGAGTCACATGGATTTACTAAGCCAAAGTGGTGGTATTCCCTTTGAATTTAGGTGGGCTGTCTAGAGATGTAATTTCTTCACCATTGTGGTGGGTCTCGCAAATGAACACCAAAATGGGGGAGCTGGCACTCCCTTCACGTCTTTGCCTGGTATATTAAGCAAAACACAAACTGTTACTCTTTCTATTCCACTACGCTATCTGCCAGCTCGGGCCAGCAAGCCTCTCAACCAGCCATTCACTCGAAGGTTGGCAGTGGCAACCCTGCCACTGCCGATCTGGAGATTGTCTTGCCGCCCACTGCACGAGCTGTATGAGGCTATCCAACCTCTAAACCCACTACAACCATACAAAGGTTGTTATAATTACCTCCTATACTTAAATTCGTCTACACACTTAGAATTACCCAAGTGAATGTTGCTTGTGTCGGCCAGGAGCAACATTCATAACCCAATAATCCAGTGAATGTTACCCCAAACAATTAGGGCTAAATAAAAATTTGATTGACTCTCTGGGTTTTACAAGAATGGTTGGCGCACATGCAAATACCCCTCTCTATTTTGTATAAATGCTTGGGGCTTTGGGTACCACTGAGTGACTGAGACGCTCTTGCGTGACAGCAACGCTCTTGCGGAGATCAGCGCTCCGGTTCCGTTCGCAACGACTCGATCACATCGATCGATATTTAGCTGGTGCACAAAGTATATGTGCTTAAACCGTTACGTATATGAAGATGTAACCACCCTCTCCGACCAGTTCAAGACGATTCTAGTTTAATAATCTACTCTGTCGATTGATGAAGTAGGTTTAAAGCATGTCTAATTAAACGTTTGTAGGCCAATTTGCGTATACGTATAACTATTTTTAAATTAGCTCATAATTAATGTAAATATAATTACATTAACTTGGAGCTAAAGCACAGATATACAAAGTGTGCTGGTGCCATCACTAGATTTTACGTTCTGTCATATAGGTTTTGTACATGGGTAAACTGTGATGTTGGCGCAATACTAATTTGGTCTTCGACCGTGAGTAGTGACCATGCAATCGTCCTACTGGAAATTCTAACACCTGATGTAAAACTGTGGTGCTGGCGTAATACGGAATTGGTCATCGTTTCGACCGTGAATTCTGGTCACGCACCTAGCTATTTTCTTAAACTGTGGTGCCGGCACAATACGGAGTTGGCCCTCGTTACGACGGTAACTTCTGTCCATGCAACCATCCTACAGGAAATCCTAGTATAGTGACTCTTTAGTCGTTTTGCTCGTCCGCGCAGATCTCGACTGGATGCGTCGTCTGGATCATATACTGAAAACTTGGGTGCAAATGAAACTGGACGAGCGCACTAGGGCTCACTGGTTCTTTCTGGGTTTTTGACTGCGAAGATGTCTGCTGAACTGAGCGAATCCAAGCAGGAAGTTTCTTGTTCTGACTGGGTCTCTCGGTGGATGATAGAAGACTACCACAGTCTGATGGGGGTTGTAAACACGCTTGCGTTTCCAGCAGATGAAGATCCCCACTAACCCAACAAGTTGTAATCTTACTAGGTTTTGGCCAAATTATTTTTTTATACGTTAAGATGCATTTGGAATTACACATAAAACCTTTAAGTTTAAAAATTAAGTATTAGTAAAACAATGGTATTTTTTTATTTAATACATGTACAACTTAAAAAAAATGGTATAGAAAAATGAAAAATAATTCAACGTTTCTGGTACAAGTCATGTACTTATATGTAAAATCCAGAGCTTCACCGTGCTAGCAGGGCATTAGTTTTAGAGATAGCAACATAACAACAGAGGAGTAATGCTACAGTAAACAAGTTAAAAAAATGTACTACATAATATTTTATTTGTACTACATAATATTTTAGGCTGCGTAGATGAGTAGGAATTGACCTCGATCCGATGCGTTTGGCAGTGACATAACAGAAGGTTGTGCTGCTGGCAGCTGAATTCCGCCAGTCTCAGCCACATGAGGCTGAGTCGCTTAGATCTAAGCAGCCTGGGTCAAAGTTCATGAGCCCCCGTTGTTTATGATCTTTTGATAATGAGCTGCAACGAGAGGAAGGTTTTGTTGAGTGTCCCGGCCGTAGGGTCCGCAATAGCGAGCCGTACTTCTTCGATAAGCTTCTTAGTTGCTCGTGGTCCGTAGCGAAGTAGAAACTCCCATTGTATGCCGACTTTATGTGCTCCACTCAGAATTTCAATCGGGCCAGCTTATGATCCAGCGTAAGCAGTGCTCTTATTTGTCCTATTGCCCGGCGCAGGTAGCGGTGGGCGCTCTTCCTCGACCTCACTACAACAGCTACTTGGGCTCCCCCCGTTGACCTGATGCCTTTCTCCAAATGTGCAACCGCGAAATGAGATAAGTGGAAGATGGGTGCAGTTTGGACAGTACCACCGGACTTGATCTTACCTCCGACACAGCTTAATAGCAGCGACGTGTCGCTCATCATCGGTACATGCCTCATGGGAAAGAGGCGGGAAGGTTCAAAAATCAAACTGCAACGCTTTTGACAGGGTATCGTTTTGAAAAGAAAAGCTTCTGATTGGCTATGTGCATTATTACTCAGTAGTTTATAGTCGAGCAAAATACTACGCTGGTATTACTAGCATGACTACGTCTACTGCTTGTTTCTGCACTGTGAGCATCGCTTTTCTACAGGCATCTCGTGAAAATCTTTTAGACCTCTATGCAGCTTTCTTGAGGCGAGTATCGCGATATCCTGACTGTTGCCGAAGTAGCAAATTTAGTAATGAGTAAAATGAAAGCAGGACTTCTGTTCCTACATGTACGGCACTAGAAATTCCTGGTGCACTCTGATACTTGTGCCGCGTCATCCTAGCAATGCATAAACTGCCCCGTAATCGACACCACTGCATAAAAAAAAGAATAGACTGTAATCATTGCTCCACTTACTGCAGCTCCTCCAGCAACCTCCTTGCCGCCATATACGGCAGCGACGACCCTGATAGAACCAACCAATTGGAGGTGCCCGATCATCTCAGTTTCACATAATACAAAGCCAGGTTACCCAGATGAGGAGGAGAATGGCCGGAACTCTTCTCATAATGGCATTGAATGGATAGAAATTTTCTCACACACAGTTTGGTTAAAGACAACCCCTGTCGTAACTGATTCGCAAGGTGCTTCATACAATGAGGTAGATTCAGATCGATTATCAGATAGAAAAATGCCGCTAACTTATCTTATTTGGCTAAAACTTTTTCGATGTAATCTAATCGATAGGGTAGTATTTATTGTTTAGATGCTGATCTAACGCCTTATTTGTGTCGACCCTGTGGTAGGCCAATAATCACCGTCTCAAAGCAACTCTGACAACCGCTAATGGAGACGAAACGATCGTTCCAGCTCAACTGTAACGCTCTTGAAGTGCGGTTGGTAGAGTGGATCGAGATACATAGTAAACCGTTATGCAAATCGGGAGCAGCTTAATCCGGGCCACGAACCACGAATCGTCTTTCGTGCTCGAATGACGATTGATGGGTGGATGACGAGAATCGGATGGTAAAAAAAGAAACCACGCAAATTACGCGAACAGCATCTTCCCCACGTAAAACTAAACGTGTCATTTTTAGTTAGGAAATGATTTCTTATCTGGGTAAACTTATATGTAACTTAAGAGTAGATGCCAAAACTGGCTTACAAAAATAAAAATGGATTAGATAGGAAAAAAACGAGAATGTACAGCATGTTTATCTATCTGAGCCGAGTTATTTATAAGTAGGTGGATTAGGCTTGTAATGTTCTCACCAGTTGCTGAGAGAGTCTGAGGACTCGAAGGCTCTAACAACCTTCGAGTTCATTTGTTGCCATCAACGGTGGCTGCTGAGGTGTGTTCTGATCTCGTGATCCTCAACCAGCTGCCAACAACCTGAAGTGTAGTTCTGGAGAAGGTCTCCTTTGTATTTGTCTTTAGTTTTTGGTTTTGATCATTCTGTATTTTGCTTAATACAACACAAGCAACTCCGAACTCCGAGGTTCAACATTGTAATTGGTAGCACTTGTTGGTCCCACTTCGTGTCCGTCGTGCTATCCGTGCTGTTCCCCATTCGTCAGAAAAAAAAACTGTTTTCGGTGTCAAGAATGGAAGAACAGAATCCAGTAATGACGTTGCTGGAGGGGCTCACTCAAGCTATTCATGAACTCTCACACACGGTTGCAACGCAAAACAATGATTTTCGATCGTCGGTCATGGACCAACTTCAACAACAACAGTCAAGTCGAGAGTTCAAAGTTGAAGGAGCCTCCATGCCGAAATTCCATGGCAAGCCTCAGGAAAGTGTGGATGAGTTCATCTTTGAAGCTAAGTTGTTCACGAACGGAAAGAACATTGACTACCACCATCCCGGCAACCAGGCTCGTGTGGTAGCGATGTTAGCCAGTAACCTCCGCGATGGAGCGGCGTCATGGTATCACAGTCGTATCATGATCGACAACGAGCCTATTAGCTCAATTGACAATTTGAAGAGGCACTTCGAGACGAATTCCTTCCTCCCGACCAGCAACATCGGTTGCGTGCGGCGCTACGTGCATGCAAACAGACGAGCGATGTAGAAGAATACGTGTCACGCATTCGTAAAATCATCACTCAAATCCGTGATATGTCCGCGTTAGACAAGGTGGACCATTTTATCACCGGTTTGAAGCCCGACAATCGCAAGGAGGTTGACTACCTAAATTGCAACTCATTAAAGACTGCTATTTCCGCCGCGCAAGCGTACGAGCGGGCCCATTTTGGCGCTGCCCGCCGACAGACAGCGGCTCGTCGCGATGGCCCTGAACCTATGGACATATCCCAAGTGACAACTCGCCCAACGGTTGAGCAGTGTCGCCGCCAAGGGCTCTGTTTTTACTGTCGAGAACCTGGTCACCGCATTTCGGACTGCCCGAAGAAACGCCAGGGAAACGAGGGAGCTCAGCGGATGTAAATGGAGTATCCGTTGAGCCATGTGAATCAGAATCTCCATGCGCAATTTCTGAAAACAAAAGTCCAGTTGAGTTCGAGATGGAGGAATTTCCTCAAGAGCGAAGTGTGATTGATACGTCTATAAACGCGATGGAGCTCCGTTTAGATCAGGTACAAGTGCAAGGACATGGCCTTTTAGTTGTGGAGGCATTAGCACAAGGACAACGTCTGAAGATGTTAGTTGACTCTGGAGCGACACACAGTATTGTGCGCCGCGATCTGCTGGCGGCTCGCGCCGGAACTCAGGAAGAAAAAATTCAGGCTCGTGATTTTGAAGGGAGACTATCGATGACTACGTCGCGCAAGTTCACGGTTGACATGACGGTGGAAGACCGTATGTGTTCAGTCGAGCTGGTAGAATGGCTATTAAGACAGGAATTCGACGGTATCCTGGGCCAGACATGGCTTCGCTGCGAAAATCCCGATATTGACTGGTCAACTGGAATTTTGTCTTGGAAACGACCAGTTCGGCGTAATTTACCGCGAGAATGGACGCCTCCTATCGTTGTGGAACCGGAAATCGAGTACGTTGATGCAGACGAATTCCAGCGTAATCTGAAGTAGGGAATGTATACTGAAGTATTTCACCTTGATGTAGTGATGGATGCAGGCACGGTGAAGCCGGATGCCGAAGTGACGAAACGGGTTGGTGAGTTTACCGACTATTTACGGGAAGAGCTTCCGGAGGGTCTACCACCTGAACGGGACATCGAATATTCTGTTCAGCTTAAGGAGGGTACAGCTCCATCTGCTAGACCTCCTTTTCGTCATGCCCATGTTGAGAAAGCAGCGCTTCAAGTGTTCGTAGATAAGCTCCTGAAGAAGAAGTGGGTGGAACGTAGCTCGTCACCATGGGTTTCCAATATCTTCGCAGTCCCCAAACGCGATCCACTGACGGGTGAGTTGCCATCGAAAATACAGTGGGTGCGTGGAGGGGATCCGTCCAAACCTGTCCGATGGGTTATCGACTATCGTTATGTGAATTCCGCCACCAATATTCCGCGTATTCCTATTCCTCGTATCGATGAGATCTTTGATCGGCTGGCTGGAGCTCATGTGTTCACGCTAATTGATTTGGCTTCGGGATATCATCAGATGAGAATGGCAATTGACTCCCGACAGTATACTGCTTTTCGCGCAGGCTCCGAAATCTACCAGTGGTGCGTAGCTCCAATGGGCCTTGCAGGGATGCCAGGCACCTGGTCTTGCTTGATGCGTCGGATCTTTGAAACCAAGGAGCTCTCGGCGTTTGTGGTTGTCTACTTAGACGATATTTGTGTTTTTTCGAAGAATCGAACGGAGCACTTGCAGCATTTACGCCGTGTATTTGAGATTTTGCGGAGCGAGAAACTCTACGCAAGACCTAGCAAATGTCATTTTGCGCAAGACCAGATTCGATTTCTCGGGCACATTGTCAGTGGAAAGGGAGTCCGTGTTGATCCAGACAAGACAGTAGCTATTGCAGACTGGGCGCGACCAAGAAACGTGAAAGACTTGCAGCGGTTCTTGGGACTCGCGGGGTATTATCGGCGATTTGTTCGTGGTTATGCTGCGCTTGTTTTACCTCTCTCTGACTTACGGAAGAGCACGACTACAGGGAAGTGGGCCCCCAACCAGGAATTCGCTTTCAATGCAATCAAAAAAACACTCTTATCTGCTCCAGTTCTGCGCCTACCAGATATGACGTTGTCTTTTCGGGTCACTACGGATGCTTCGAAGACCTGTGTCGGAGGTGTTCTCAGCCAGATCATCGATGGTTTCGACCACCCTGTTAGTTTTTTTCAGCCGAAAACTATCAGATACCGAGAGCAAATGGGCGGCACACGAACAGGAATTATACGCCATAAAGAGCTGTCTTGGGAGATGGCGCTGTTATTTACTTGGAGGTCATTTCGTCGTTTACACCGACAACTCTGCTTGCCGCTGGTTCTTACATCACCCTAACCTGTCTCCAAAGATGGCACGCTGGCTTGAGTTTTTTGGCCAGTTTGATTTCGAACTTGAGCACAAGAAAGGCACTTCAAACGTCGTGGCAGACGCTCTTTCTCGACCTCCCGTATGCGTCACGATGGTCGGTTCGTTCGTGTTTAAGACCCGCTTTGTTTCTCGAGCTGCTAAACTGGTAATTGAAGGAGCAGCAGCCTCCATGTCGACCTGGAAAGACGCGGTCATCATCGAAAACACCTCTCTTTTAGTGGTGGGGGAGGATACTGAATTTGTACAAGATATCAAGGGAGCGTACAAGAAGGACAAGGATTGTGTGAACATCCTACAAGGGCCGCAACGTCAGTAGGAACGAGTTTGTGCCAAGTATGATCTTCTTGATGGTGTACTGGTGGTGAAAGGGCAAGATGCTGTACGAGTATTGCGGATTCCTCAAGTGGATTCGATTTTGCTTCGGCTGATGCATGACTTTCATGATGCTGCGGTGGTTGCCCATCCTGGTGTTGAACGCACCATGGTAGCGATGCGGCAATATTTCTGGTGGCCTGGGATGCGAGAGCATATCGCGCAATACATTGCGACTTGTGAAGCGTGTGTTCGTCATAAATCTGGATCTCGTCGTCACAAAGTCTTGCTCCAGTCGCTTCCTATTCCTGATCACTGCTGGCAGCATGTTACTATGGACTTCGTCACCGCCTTGCCACTTAGTAACGGTTTTGATGCTGTATACGTGGTGGTTTGTCGGCTCTCGAACCGACCGTGCTACATTCCTACTACCAAGGATGTCGATGCAAAAACCACGGCTAGATTGTTTTTCGACCACGTTGTTCGGTACTATTCACTCCCTGAGTCAACCATTTCCGATAGAGACCCAAGGTTTACGAGCGAGTTTTGGCGAGAATTGATGACGATCATGCAGGTGAAGCAACGAATGACAGTGTCGAAGAGAGCCCAGGCTGACGGGCGAAGTGAGCGACAGATCAGAACGTTGGAGGACAGTCTGAGGTGTATTGTCTCTCATTATGGAGATGATTGGGCTAAGATGCTACCGACTGTAGAATACGCGCATGCAACACTTGTGTCGACTTCAACTCGCATTTCGCCATTCGAAGGCGATTGTGGACGGAAACCGAGATCCCCGATCATTGTAGCAACTTCAGGCAATTTGGCTCAGAACATGACACGTTCTCGTCAGGAAGCTATCGAGTTTGCTCAACGGAACCTGCGGTTAGCTCAAGAGCGTCAAGCCCGTTACTACAATCGTGGACGACAACAAGTGCGGTTTAAGGAAGGTGATTTGGTGTACGTGGATTCACGAGTTCTTAACAGTGAACTGGGACAGCCCGACTACGACCCAGGGCGTGATCCAGCTTGCAACAAGCTTCTACCCAAGTGGTACGGACCGTTTCCAGTGGAACAGTGTATTGGAGAAAATGCGTATCGGGTGTCACTTCCCCATCGTTATCTAGCCCGTGGACGACATGCTACTTTCAACGTTGACCAACTGAAGCTATCACTCGACGTTCCGGAAATTTTCCGTCACCGCCAGATTACAAAGAGTGCACCTCGAATGTATGATGAAGCCGGTGAAAGAGTGTACGTAATTCAAGAGCTCTTGGATCAGCGTAGCCGAGGTCGTCGGAAGCAGTACCTGTGCTCATGGGTTGATTTGCCGGAGACTGAGAATTCGTGGAAATTTGAGGACGATCTCAAGCATATCAGTCACTGGGATACGCTGTTGAGAGGTCTTAAAGCAAAGAAACAACAACGTACTTCGTCAACCCGCGGACGCAGATAAACCCGGGGAGGATGTAATGTTCTCACCAGTTGCTGAGAGAGTCTGAGGACTCGAAGGCTCTACCAACCTTCGAGTTCATTTGTTGCCATCAACGGTGGCTGCTGAGGTGTGTTCTGATCTCGTGATCCTCAACCAGCTGCCAACAACCTGAAGTGTAGTTCTGGAGAAGGTCTCCTTTGTATTTGTCTTTAGTTTTTGGTTTTGATCATTCTGTATTTTGCTTAATACAACACAAGCAACTCCGAACTCCGAGGTCCAACATTGTAAGGCTGGTCGTGCCGGTCCATGTACTATCAGTACAACAACACTGTGACCTCGTAGTTGCTTTAATAGAGAGGAGATTTGTTAATGATGTAAGCACAGACATTATTTTTCTAATGAAGTCACTGCACAGTTTCAAAAAGATCTTCCTTGCGTTTTGGCTGATAAACAAAAATGAAATTACCTATCCGATTTTGTATTTAAAAAAATCATTCATTTGCAAAAGGTAAAACATAAAACTTCCAGGGTGGAGCGACGGGCATAGTTGCCCGAGGCTCCCGAGTCAATCAAGACTCTCCACGGCTTAACAAAGCCCTTCACATTCGCTTGAACGACCAGCAAACTGATGGTAGACTTGAGCGGAAGTAGCGATATGGCTTGGCCAGAGTAGACGGATTGAGCTCAATATGCCGTATGATTGACGATGTAAAATGGAAACTGATCAATTTGGTGCAGCTAGTTCTGGGTCTAAGTCGGCACTACGAGCTCTAGATGCTCATCCTGAGCTACGGGGTCAGATCCTATGATAGTATCTAGAACAGCAATGAGAAGTCTAGAACGTTTTAGACTTCTAGGCCGTTCGGGATACGGCACTACCCGATCTGGACAGTGTCTGTGTAACGATCCAAGCTGAAAGATTCACTATCTCTGAGGTCCGATTGCTTTTCGATGCGTGTGTGGATAAGTACCCTATCATGCTACTTGTCTCCTTCTGCGGACATTGTACACTCGTCTCTATTTGAATCTGCTATCGTAAAGCTCCAGAACGATTTACCCGTACCCACCGACGAGCAACATGCAGTGGAAGGCTTCATGCAGCCTCCAACTGCACAGCAAGTTGATACGGCCAAGAAGACCGACTTTGCAGCATCCCGTGCTGCGGGACGCCAAGAGAGCCTTCTTGGGAGTAGGGCGACTCTCATCCTGAACTTCCCTGTCTCGGCGGTCCTGGTTAGCGTTCGCTGCTGCAGCCATTGAAGCTCGATGTTCTCGGCAAGCTTGTTTTGCTGCTTTAGCGTCTTCCTGTTGCGGTTCACTTGGCTTTGCATAGATGGGATCATCTTGGAACCCTTCCGGCACATACGGGTGAGTTTTGTTGTGCAGATCTAGCATCTTTTCGCTGTTGAGGGGAGGTGGATTTAAGTCCTCCAGAAAGTGAGTGAACATGCGATCTACTTTGATGTCATCGGTGGCAACTCCATCAACATTTCGCCGCAGATCATGCCTTGTCGCTTCATCGTCTGGCCCTTTGCGGCACAAAACAACTCCAGGCTGATCTTTAACCATGGAGAATATCTGGTACTGCTGCACGCCCATTAGGTTCTTGTAGAGCTCGGTCACTACTGGTTTGTACCTCTTAAAAAAACATTGCCACGCGAGATGTGAACGGTAGTGTTGGAGGTGGCAGAATTGTTCACAGCGGAGATAATATGATCCATGTACCAACAAACTTGGCGAGAAACGTGCTTGCGAATGTGACCGAATCCACGGTCACAAGAGTTCTTCGTGTGACCTTTCACAAAGAACTTGTAGTCCACTCGCTCGAGAACACCCATGTGTACCAAAGCCAAGAAGAACTTGATCACGTGATAATTCTTGTTTTGCCCCGTGCAGTTGTCTGCATAGACAACGAGATGCTTTTTGCCGTACGGAATCACTACCGTGCGAATAAAGTGTTGCAGCATCGAGTTAATCTGGTCACTACCCTTTCCGCTCGTAAATTCATCGTACATGTAGTTTGTTTGTGTTCCAGTGTTCTCGAAAAATATCCCAAAGACGTTGACTGTCAACAACGAGCAGAAATACCACTGCGATGGGGTGCATGGCACCGAAGGAATTGTCAGATTTTGCGAAAAGTACATCACAATTACTGCGAGATCGCTGGAGGGTTCATCCTCGCTGTGTGCGGCAGCCTGGTCCTTCTTGTATTCACGTCTGGATGTCCTCTTCGCTCTCGTCTCCACGAACGTCGTCTTGGCTGGAGACAGGTACTGCTCGCTCTTGACTGGACGCAGGCGCTGTATTCTCTTGACTGGAAGCAGCCTCGTCGATGTTGGTGTCTTGAGCGAGCTGGACTCTGAAAACTTGCGAGGCCTCCCCACGCTCGCTGGGCGTCACGGCACTAGAGTCACAAGCGGAGAGCTGAGTTACTGCAACATCTTGAGAGGGCGACAGTGGTGGAGACGGCGGCTGGGGTAGTTGGCGAAGCATTATGGACACTGATATTATCTTGAAAGCCGTTTGGCAAATGAGTGGGCTCGCTTTAGTGACCGTTTAGATTTTCAAAACTGTTTTTGGCCGTTTTCTCAAAACTTCGTATAGGTACGAAAAATGATGCCAACTTTGAACGCGATTATCTCGATAACTCTAAATGGCACATTAGTATCATTTTGTATTGTGTGGTCTCACATGCAGACGGTGTTTGTTTCACCAAGCGATTATATGTGCATCTCTCCATGTAATATTGTGAATTTCAAAAATGAAGTAATACCAAAATACTGGCGCGTTCCTCATACTCAGCTACTTCAACCTTTAACAGCTCATCTACGCAGCCTAAAATATTATGTAGTACAAATTATTTTATAGAACAAATTATTTTAGCTTGTTTACTGTAAAAGTTGGAAGCTGTATTTCATAATTGTGTGTGGTGTACACCATCTCCCCAAAGAAAATTCCGATTTGCATGATGTGTGTACATGTTTCCCTCCAGTGTGCGGTTCTCCGCTTGCCAATCACTGCTAACGACGAGTGTGCGTGATGAACACTCCACCCCACTCCTCAATCTGCGCCGCCAAAGGTAATCCGTAACTTGTCAGCCTGAGGTCTTCATTGTTGATGGCGTTTGCTCCGTTGAAGACCTACGGCACTTCACCAGACGGTCTAGAAGCTACTATCCCGGTCAATGTTGAAGCTCTTGGCACCCCACCAAGACGCTTTGGCAATGCCGTCCGAGTTGCTGGACTTGTTAGCTTCTTGGTCTTCCTTAGCAGCTATCTCATCTCGTTACAGACCTGGACTCCAACTTCTACAATCGAGTCCGTGACAAGTCTCTCGAAGACGGAGGTGGCACCGCTGAGTACCGTTGAAAAAGCGTTTGTAGACGGAGTGCAGCCCCAGAAACTCCAGGAGTTCCTACATGCTTTTGCCAGTGTCCCCCCACACGTGTGGCACCGAGCAAGACTACGAGACGGCGTTGTACACTGCACGGCAGTGGGAATCGTACGGCATCGAAGCAGAAATTGTAGAGTACTACACACTGCTGAGTTACCCGGTGCACCGTCGTCTGGCAATTGTATCGCCGGAAAAGAATATTCAAGTGCTTAACCTAACTGAGGGATCAGTTATCAACGACTCATGCACGACAGACCCGACAGCGTTGTCGCCGTTCCTGGCCTACTCAGCGACTGGAAATGTGACGGCGTCCGTTGTGTACGCCAACTTCGGTACACAACAGGATTTCGAGTGGCTCGCAAGCCACAATGTCACTCTAAAGGGAAAAATCGCCCTAGTACGTTATGGAGCTAACATGCGTGGTCTCAAGGTGATGGCGGCTGAGAAGTACGGCATGGCGGGTGTACTGATCTACTCAGACCCGAACGAAGATGGCTTCACACGAGGCCCTGTGTATCCTGAAGGCTCTTACCGTCCCGAGAATTCCTTTCAACGTGGCTCCGTCAACTACATTCCTCTCTACTCTGGAGACCCCATGACTCCTGGTTAGGCCTCAGTGGAAGGCGCTACTCGTCTCACGTACGAACAAGTCACTAATATTCCACGTGTGCCGGTACTTCCGCTGTCATACGGACAAGCTCGTCGTATTCTGGCAGCTTTGGGCGGGCAACAGGCACAAGACTCATGGCAGGGAGGTCTTCCACTTGACTACAAGCTGGGAAACGACGAATCGCTGGTACTGAACCTCGATGTGGTCATGGATAACCATGTGGCTACCATTTGGGACGTCATCGGTACCATTGAAGGCGCTGAAGAGCCTGATAAACGCGTAGTTTTAGGCAACCATCGTGATGCGTGGGTCTGTGGAGCAGTAGATCCCAGCAGTGGATCTGCGACACTCATGGAGATTGCTAGAGGACTCGGTGACCTGCTTCAGACCGGGTGGCGTCCTCGTCGAACTATTGTGCTTGGGTCTTGGGACGGCGAAGAATACGCTCTACTAGGAAGCACTGAATGGGTCGAAGACAACGCCAAACTGCTCAAAGAGGAGGCTGTGGCTTATCTCAACGTCGATTTGCTGGTTGGGCCTCTCATTAGTGCCAGTGCGGCTCCTTCAATTGCCAAGTTTGTGCAGGACACAGCCAGCTTACTTCCAGCTAACCCATTCCACGGCAACAGCAGTGAAGTGGACAGTGCTCAGAGTCTGTTGGATCAGTGGACACAGCAGATGGAGAAATCTCGTTCTTCTCCTGGAGGTTTGCCTGCCCCTGGCTCCAAGACGGACCTGACACTGGCTCCCGACCATCTTATCAACTTCATGGGCTCGGGATCGGACTTCACCCCGTTCTACCAGCACTTGGGTGTTATCTCCGTGAATCTGGCCTTTGGACTCACTTACGCTTCGTATGGCACCTACCACAGCTCTATGGACAGCTTGCACTACATGGAAACGGTGGGAGATCCGCACTACGCTTCACACGCCAGTATGGCCAAGTGGTGGGGCGTGCTGGCTTTGCGTCTCGCGAACGATCTCGTCATCCCGTTTGACTTCGCGTCCTATGCTCTCGTTATGCACAACGGACTCAAACACCTTGAGCAGCGATTTAAAGAAGCTGGGCAGAATGTTGAAGTCAAGCAACTGTACGCTGCTATCGAAAAATTCGGTGTCAATGCAGAGGCATTCCAAGTCACTGCGCGTGAGCTTCAGAGCTCTTCTCTAGCCGCTGATGACACGGTTTTGAGGGCCTGGAACAACAAAGCCGTCCTGCTCGAGCGCCAATTGCTCTCTAGTGATGGACTGCCCCATCGTTCGTGGTACAAACATGTGATCTTCGGCCCGGGATTCTACGAGGGTTACGCTGGTGCGGCCTTCCCCGGCATCACCGACTGTCTTGCCTTCTACGACGATGTAGACACGGTCCAAAGCCACGTCGACGAGGTCACACATATTGTTGATTATGCCGCTGAGTTCTTTGTCAAATAATTGGCTCAAACTCGCCAGAGAGTCAGACACGTTTCGCAAGTACCTCTCGTTGTCCTCAGGGAAATCATCGCTTTTCTTCGATATCGTGGTGGGTCCTCGATGTAAAATCTTGGCAACTCCATTGAGCTTACCAGCAGTGAATAAGCGATGCCGGCGTCGAATTACATTGAGTAATTTACAGTCTGTCCATGGCAATTCTGAAACGAGCTTAATTTCGACAACATGCCGAGTACGCTGGAAAAAGGATACGTGACGAGTAAAGAAGGTTAACAAATGTTATGATACGAGTTGAGAGGAACACGGATGATCCAAAGCGCGGTTTGGACGGCTCCTTATTTAATGTGATGCGGATAGCTGATTCAATGGCAAAAAAGAAGAATTCGGTAACAATTTGAATTGTGGTATGAGGCGTAACAAGTAAGATGAAACTGAAAATGTAAGGAGTTCATTTCATTTGAGCAGCTACATCTAGCTCCAACGTATGAGTCTCGTTAAGCAAAATACTGAAGAGAAGCTCAACCGGTGAAATTCATATGACGAAATGTGAGCTGGGCATCATTGGTAGCACAGTCACACACATTTTTGGGCTAGTACTGAACCAACCAAGCGACGTCAACTCCATGCGTGTACGCCCGACTGGTGCACTCGGCGAGATCTTGACTCTAACCTTTCCTCATTATCATTAGAGACTTCGATCCCCAGAAGAAATTTCCATTCTCTTCACCATGATATCACCTTTCCAAGGAAGAACTGGTCACGTGCCGAAGCATTCTATGCAGGTAACGTACACTCTCACACTATATTCCAGTTTGCAGGAAGTTCTGAAGGAGCACGCCTATGTAAAATTTGTGCCTGTTTTCTCCACTCGAGTTATAGTACTGGCTTGGTTGCGTTGACCTCCACTTTTTTCCTTGTCGGCAGTGCGTTCAGCACGCCGTCAATCGATATGTCTTCTTGCAACTTCATAGCTGCAGTCACGTGAGAGCACTGTTATCCTGTCTGCATAATTATGGCACAATTGCAAGCATACTTCACTCGAATACGCTCGATCTAACAACGCAGCACCGTTAAAAAAAAAGCGCAACAAAAAATGTAGCAAATGCTATAATTCATACCTAAATGATGCTTATTGCTGGTGCAGCAAAAGTTGCACCATCCTAGTCCAGAGGATCCAGCTTCAACAGACGCACTTGATGGATTGACAAGAAATGCAATTCCGCTGTATGGGTCGTGTTGGTTACGGGGATCTTTCCATTTAGCGAGTTTCGACGTAAGAGTTTGGCAAAAATCAAAAACTCTTGAACAGTACCTAGTCACTCGAGCGCCCGTTAGGTTCGACTACCTGTGGTACGGACATGTGATGACATTGCTGCTAGTGTAAATGTGGTTTGAACACATAGGTAATTTGCGTTTGTTAGTTCGCAATTGCTGCGATGTCGTGAATGCTATGTCGCCTTCACTGTGATAGGCTACTGTCACACAAGTCGACACCGCTCTCTCGCGGTGGCCAATAAGAGTCATGCAAAGATCCACTGGTTGTGTGTAAGCTGGTAACGGTCTTAGCCCGTTACATGCACTACAGATCTTACTGTGCTACTGTATGTAAATGTCACAGAATAACCATGCTAATAATTCAAAATAACGTTTAACAAACGTATCAAGGTTGGTTTCGCTGACCAACACTTTGCTGCAAATACATTCACTATTCTCACTCAATACTAAGGACATAGTCGAGGTCATATACAACGCCAAGGTAGCTAGGTGTCTTAACAACCTGAGCACTAATAATATTCACCATCTGAATTATCATCAACAACCCCGTCACTCATGTGTCTCCCACAAACACTAGCGTAACTCGCATCATTTCCTCGCCCACGCTTTCATTGTCTGCGTCCTTCTCTTCTTGATCATTTGTGTTGCGTTAAAATCGCCGTCACAGATGTCAAGACGGGTGGTGTGCATTTTCAAGTACTCCGAATAAGGCTCTTTCATGCATTGGTCTCAGTGTGGTCAAATTTGTAAATAAAATCTTAATTAGGTGGTTAAACACGAAACTCACACCAAAAATGCGAGTTGCTCGCAGCTCCAAGCTACCTAGAATATATCCTGCTTGGAAGGGTCTTGGTTGGTACTGTGGGTAATACGGACATCAATTAACGATGTATTGTAAGAATGTGCTTTATATGTAATAAAAGCTTAAAGGTAAGTGCACGAAAGTACTTTTGTACATTTCATGCAATGCACAAAACAGCCCTAATTCCGAACTCCAAATAGGCACAGTCTGCAGTCTACTTTAAAAAAATGTCAGGGTAAGGACCTTCTTTATCTCGTACACAACGCCAATTTGATAGCAGGGTCTCTCTGATTTCGTATACGTGAGCATTCTTGCGGAACATGTCCATCTTCTCCATCTTCCGGCTGTAGCCTTCAAAGCGGTGCTATGTAAAGCTGTTGATGAACACGATACGAGTTCCTCGGTTGTAAGGATGACGCTCGGTAATCAGCATGCACATTATAACATTAATACGGTTTCCAGTGGCCACTCCGTTTCACGAATACACACACGCTGCCCATGTATGGTAACAAATAGGTTGGCATCCTAGGATTCCTGCTTCCAGCATCAGCTCCGCTGTACTGTCGTCCATAACGTCGCGTGCCATTCAGCCGTTATTGCGTTCTCTGGTGAATTCGAAATGCAATCAATGAAAGCAACGTAAAAAAAGAAAACGATCATCCATGCTTTATTGCCTTCAATGTTACACTATCCCTACCTTACTAACGTATGTACCACCTTAGATCAAATCCAAACTCCCCGTCCACTTACTATCGAAGCAGCAGCCGCTGCTACGCGACACTGTCGCACACTCTTCGTATCCTGAATACTCTTCAGAAATACAACACCCTGTACAACGCCTTCCATCTGCTTATGATACTCGCCGATGTCGGCTATAGCACTTCCGTCACATCGACCTATCAATGTCATTCTCTGCTGCTTTGTCTTCGAGCCCGAACAGAATTTAACGAGGGCCTTGGTGTCCTGTCTTAGCCCACTACCCACAACGCTCACCTCCGGCCCATTTGAGTATTCCCCCGTTCTTGGATCTTCCTTCTAATCCTTCAAAGAAAACACTCGTACAGCTGAATGAACTTAGGATTTCTCGGCTCCAAGCAAGCGCTGCACATTTCATACCAGCCAGCACAGCAGTGCGCAACTAGCCAAACCCAACTTTTCAACCCGCAACGATTTTTTTCTACAATGTCAACAAACTTCTAGAGATTGTCGTACCAGAATGGAGTCAATGTCAATAAAAGTCGCACTAACGAATACTATGGTGTAATATATAGTGAGTCGATACTGGCTTACTTTCAAAGGAATCCTGAGTGCAACGATACCAGACAGCAATGATACCAGTCTACACGACCCTTGCCCGTATTTAGTTTAACACACATCGCTAGACCAACCAAAAGATGATAATAAATTGCGATTCCAAAAATTCATACCAATCATTGGTAAACACTGAATCAGAGAGCAACTCTATCACGTAAAAACATTAAACCCAGAGTAACACGTCATTGTAGGGGGATAATATATCCAACAAGCTTTTCGGGATCAATACATTGTTTAAGAAGTAGCTCAGGAAAGGAGGCAAATCGCTACTATCTCGACACTATCGGTTTAGACAGGCTATGAGAGAGAAGCTTACTGAGCAAAAACCACGAAAGTAACCATGTATTCAGTTTGAAAACTTGCAGCTAATTTGACACACCAACTTCCATAACCTGTCGGGCCATTTAGTTGCGAAGTTGCATTGATGATAACGGTTCCTGATTGATACGAAGCACTAACAACACGTTTGTCTTTGCTGATACTGATAACTGGAGCAGGACTAGTCGTCGAGTCATATAAAAACGAATCTGCTAATTGTGTGCTATCACTCATTACTTAGTCCTACTAATTATTGAAATTCTATGCTGGTGCCTTTATTATGAATAGCTATAAATATAAGCATCAGATAATGATTTTGAAATTAAATAATCTCGGCGAATCGACAGCTAATGAACTACAACAACTTGCGAATCAGCTGAATGTTCATATCGACAATATGCTAGATTTCAGAAACATTAGAGCTCCACTAGGTAATGGAAGCTACATTATTTTACTACGATTACATCCAGGAGTTGGACATTGGGTTTGTATGTGCAACAATGAATACTTTGATTCGATGGGTATTGGGCCACCGAGAATTCTTGGCGCTACGAATATAATGACAAACAGTACCAAGGGAGCTATGATAATTATTGCGGTTTATGGAGTATGCTGGTAAACAACACAATCGACCTGATTTACTCAGAAATTTTTACGATTTAAATACAGAAGTTTCATTATCTTAATATACCGGTGCGGAAACAAAGCTTCGCTTTAATATACCATCATGAATAGAATCAGACGTTATAGAGGAACAGAAGTTGACGAGGTTACTCCAAAAGATAATAGAATCGATTTGATAATGAAAGAATTGGAATTTTTGCGCCCCGAACTAGCTAAAAAAAAAAAGTTGAATCATCCATTTCAAAATAGTTCAAACAGGAAATTTTCACAAAAGATAGAGAAACCTTACTCAAAAATGGATTTGTTAGTAAAGGAGATTATCTGGAAATCCCATTAACACTACTAAATGCCAGATACAAACAATGGTGCATTGATACTGGACATAATCAAATGTAGCGTAAATCAATTGTTGAGAATATTCGGAACAATAAAATTGATGGAGTCGTGGTCAAATATTATGATGGATACGACAAAATACGCGTTTTTTCCTATTTAGTGTATTAAAAGTTGATATTCTGACAATGATAAATACTTGCACAAATCAAGTCAATTTCTTCGCAAATTTTTAGTATGTCTGATGCTGTATGCTTATTCATTTTTGAAAATTTAGTCGAATATCTTCAAAATCGATATGATCGGTCTTATCGGTCTTATCGGTACTATCAGTATCTATCGGTTCATGAAGCTTTACATCTTCAACATAACCAGTATCATCGGTATCGGATAGATACGTAATATCCATGCTTTTGTGTCTATATAAATAAATATATTTTGTATCTACAGTTGTTCAATCACCCAGATGGAAACCCAACGTTGGGTTGCACCATTTGATTGGCTGAAATATGGATAGAGAGAACGTCCCTCGCTCACAGAAAGGAATTGGAAGCATGGTGAAGCTGTTCTGTGCGCTCGTTGGAGCGAAGGGAAACGCCTTTTTCTCCGTAACGATCGATGCGAGCGAGTCTGTGGATGACTTGAAGAAGGCCATCAAGAAGGAGAATGAGGACATCACGTGTGCTGCTCGCAAAGTGGAGCTGTTCCTCGCCAGGATGGGCGACAATACATGGCTCGATAGAAGCGGCGCGGAAGCTGTGACGCTCGATGAGAATGGACACCCCGAAGGCTTTGCACACATGGACGAGTTAAACTGGATTGAGGATTACTATGGCGAGGAATTTCAACCAAAACGAGGGGAAATCCACGTGTTGGTGGTAGTTCCATCGTCCAATAAGAAGCAGTGTTTGGACTGGCGGTCGACTCGGTGGGGATCGCACACTTATGACCCGAATTCACTGTACTTCGTGCTGGATAAAGAGGATGTGGACGAGTCCGGACTTCCACCCGTTCGCATGATGCTCTACTGCAGGCCAACTTTCCACCGCCAGTTCGAGTTCTTGCGCGAACGAGTATTGAATGAAGGTCATCTGGGCTGGATCCTCGGTCCTCCTGGAACGGGAAAGTCAACCACTGCCATGGCCTTCGCGTCGACTGTGAAGAGAAGTGAATGGATGGTTACATGGATTCATGTGGAGAAAGACATGGATCTGGAATGCGTGCGTCTTGTGGGCGAAGAAAGAATGACTCGAACCATTGAGATTGGGGGCGTAAATGAAGTTTTGCAGATCGATAACAACAAGAAGCACCTGCTGCTTGTTGATGGCTGGACAGCTGCAGACTCGTTTGTTGAGCTGACAACCAAGTGTCACCGATGGTTGAGGAGAGATCTTGTCAAGCGACGGCTGGCGTTTGTGTGTTCGGTAGCTTCTCGTGGTAAAGTTCAAGAGGGAACGGATATCCGGACGCGCGCAATGGAGTTCGATGTGTGGTCGTGGACCCTGGATGAATACCTTGATGCGATTAGAAATCGAGAGTTTTTTTTGGGTGTGGCGGCTTTGCTGGATGCTCCAGGCGGCGTATACGGACCAAGGTCTCCTATCGAAATGGTGGAGTCGAAGTATCACTATGCTGGTGGATCTTGTCGTTACATGTTTGACTGTACGACTACCGACGTCAAGGACAGACTTTGCCGGGCCGTGGAATCCGCATCAAATGCCGCGACTCTCTCTACAGACGGACACCGTTCACCGTTTAGCATCAATCGGCTCTACGCCATGTTCAAGCGACCAAATTGGGAAGGTACTATGTCGCCGTTGATCAGTCAGTATGCTGCTACAACAGTTGCTATCTTATGCGGTCCGGAGGCTATCAAGAAGTTCATGTCGATGCATCGAGACAGTTCAAACCCAGCATTGAATGGATGGATGTTGGAGATGGTGTTCTTCGCAAGTCTTCGAAATGGCGGTCTCACTCTTGTCGATGCGACAGGAAACACGGTTGACACGTGGGGTCAATCAGTTATTGTGGTTTCTGATGCAATACCTCCGATTGCTTCTGCTCACACCGTTTGGATCAAGCCAGAGAAATGGAACCAAGGCGGATACGACGCTATTATGGTGTGCAAGCGTACTCGGCATGTGCGCTTGGTGCAAGTGACGAGTGCCCACAAGCATTCTTTTCGTATCGAACACTTCTATGGATGGTTGAAGATGCTCTCGGAATCGCCCGAACGTTTTGAGGTGGAGACAATAGAGATAATCTTCGTCGCCGAGCAAGACAAGCTGAGCGCATTCCACTTCACAACGGTGACGGGAGATGGACTCCTCGTACCATTTGGTTGGCCAAAGGGTAAGGAGACAGGCTTGGTACGGCTGGTAGGGATTCGAGGGTTATATAGTTTGTAGCGTTATGCAAACTTCTATTCATCTCCTCTAATTCTATCTGCTACAATATTTACAAGCGACGTAATCAATCGTCGCATCGCCGATCAACAGTTGAGAGAAGTGTCTCACGAGATGACCGGCTGATATGTATGTTGATTGATGGTGTTGTGTCATGGTTGATGCTTGGTGCGAACGACACATGCTGCGACCTTTCTTGAGGACGATGTGATTAGACCTTGACGAAGAATTAAGCATCTCTCTGATAGCCTGTCTAAATCGATAGTGTCAAGATGGTAGCGATTTGCCTCCAATCTTGAGCTACTTCTTGAACAATGTATTCATCCACCAAAGCTCGTTGGTTCTGATCACCTTTATGATCTGATAACCTGCAGAACCACAACAAGGATTTGACAGATGTTACTGCTAATAGAGGTTCTCATGGAAGTTAACCCTTCTAATACGATTGTTACGGATTTTCCTGAATGCGTTTATACGATTGATAATATTCAGCGTTATCCGCAACAAACTTTGGAGAGCCTCAAATCCGCACATTGAAATTTGTATGGGATAATTTTACCTGGTCGATTGTGGCCGTTGAGACATGAGATTGTCGGGATGCGGCTAGGGTTGTTGGTATAAGAAGTGAGGGAGCTGTCAGTCGTTCATTTTGAGATCTGCGCGAGAGAGAGACCATCACTGCACGATGAGAGGCTACGCGATTGCCGCTGAGAAATCTCTGGGTCAAATTTGGAACGAGTTGACGAAGAAAGGTTGGTTGTTCAGGAAGTCCCTTGGCCTGAGTGACGACCGTAGGTATCTACCACCGGGAGGCAGTCTCAAGGGGACTGAGGGCGTAGACTACCTACTTGGTAAGTGTGCTAGGAGCTGTTATATGCCTCCACCAGCTCATTTTGTTCGTGCTTGCAGGAGACGAGAGTTTGATGAGGTATTGCCGCCGCCAGGGATGGCCGGAGTTTGAACCACTTCCCAGTGCGCCTCTACCTGCTGCCCAAGCCTAACCAACGAAACCGCGCACAGAATTGGTTGCGGCAAAGCCAACGCCGAAGCCAAGAGCAGTAGCAAAAGCCACCCAAGTACAACCGGAGTAAGTTGCTGCAGCGAACCTTAGTACAGCTGGTGCTGAAGTGAAGCAGTCAACCTTAACCACGACTGTCACCACGACCTCTGCTTCCAAAACGCCGGACATCAAGTCGTCTGCTGCCAAGAAAATGCCGGTCGCCAAGAAGCCGGTCTCCAAGAAGCCGGTCGCCAAGATATCGGCTGCCAAGCGGTGTGCAGCAAAGAGATCTGCAAGTTCAAGTAGTAGCGGTGCAGCGCGCCGCCGTAAGCGAGCCGCTGTTGACAAGACCACAGCGCAGGATACTACCCCAGGTGACTGCACACGACATCAGTATGCTATACAAGTATTAATGTTTTTGTTACGGATATGCCTGCAGCTGCTGTTCCGGATGCAGTTGTTCCAGATATTACTGATATTGATATTCCGGATGTGGAGGATACTGGTCCGGATACTACTCAAGAACCGGTTTCGGAGGTGACGACGACGAGTGCTGAGGTTACTTCCGACGATGGTACAACGGCCGGGCGATCGCTGCTTGATGCGTTTGGTTCGGACGACTTCTTAGATGCTTTTTGTAGAGATCGTTTGTTTGGCCCTCTGGAATCGGATGATTTGAATGTGGGCGAGGTAGACTGGTTGCTTGGCCTGGACTCTGACCTTGAAGGGGATGAAGAGTCAATGCTTCACGATGAAGACAACAACGCTGATCTGTAGGAGTCAGCCAATGGCAGCGTGGAAGATGACACAGAGGTTTCAGCGGATGAAGTGGATGAAGAACCTGTCACGTTCGAGCTTGATGCTGGTGATCTGGACCGCCTTCAAGAGGAGGAGTGGAACTACTTTGACGAGCGGCACAGTGGGCAAGTTCAAGTGGATGCTGCTCCGCTCTACGACGGACCAAGCAGTCCAACTAAAGCTGCTTTGGCTTATGCCGAAAACCCGTTGGCAATATTCTACTTCTTCCTACCCAAAGAACTGTGGCGTCGGATTGCTGCTGAGACGAACAAGTATCGCCTCGATAGTGTTGACGAAGTCACTCAAGGCATACGCCGACGTGCTCTCGAGAAGCGGTTGACGACCCCGTCCACAACTGTTCTGTCTGTAGAGGAGTATCGGGTCAAGTTGCGACGCAAGAACAGCATGTAGCCGCACGAGATAGTCCGGTATATTGGGCTGCTAATTGCAAGAGCACTGGAGCCGCGCCATGAAAGCCTTACGCGCCATTGGATCACGCGGACAGAGGGTGCGCTGTCGCGAGGCACCTTCGGCCAGTTTCTCAGCCGAGACCGTTTTCAAGACATTGCGCGGTACCTCCACTTCAATGACAACGATCTGCAAAGCTCCAGTGGCGATAGAGCCTTCAAGATCCGCCCTGTTGTCCAAGATCTTCAAAATACCTTTTTTTTCGCGGCTATCGGCTCGGCGCCCGCATATCGTTTGATGAAGGCATGGTGCCCATGCGTCACAGACGCAATCCTATGCGGCAGTACCTGTCCAACAAGCCCAACAAATGGGGCACCAAGTTCTACATGACTTGCTGTGCAGAGACAGCATACTGTTCGAGGTAAGGAATAGTTGCGGTCAGGATGATCCGGAATATGTTCGGGATGATCTGCGATGTGAACAGGAGTATACTGACTATGTTGTTTGTTGCTGTATAAAATCGACATCTATTGCGGTAAAGCTGACAAGGACGAAACTGCAGTAGCTCAGAAAGCTGAGAGAAGAACAAGGCAAAGACAAAGAACCGCCAGTGGCTCTGCAAGGTGTGTTCGGCGTTCGCAGGTCCCGGGGTGTTTTGAGACCAGCTACTTCTGTGCGGCCTGCACACGCGCGAAGCTCCGTGAAGAATGGGTTTTTGGTTTATGCCTCCACTTCAACAGTAATCCGGGTGATTCATTTGGTTCTGAGTGATGACGTCGTAGAGGCGTATCTGCTTGCCTTTGAGCGCGTCAATGATAGTTGTCTAAACTGGATTTACTCGTGAAATGAAGTGCTCCCACAACACTGAAGAGCTAGGTCATTGCGGAGACATTGCAACTCTCAAACAGCACTTGGGTTTGTGGCGACAGCTCAATGATTTGGTTGACAAAAATGATGGGCCTTTGCCACCGGCAAAGCATATCATTCCAACCGTCATTGCGACTTGGAATCGTGTGAAAGGAGTATTGATGTTTACTCGCGTTTCCTGAAGAACGTTCATGCGCGCCATCTCCACTTGCCGCCGCTTGGAGCTATTTGGATCCGAATGCTTTTGTCAATCGTGTACAACGCGTATCAATCAAGCAAGTTGCTACAAGTAAGTTCCTGCTCATTTTCCCTGAAGAATAGTACTAACACAACCAAAGAGCTACTCGTATTTGATGTTTGACACGCGGTGCGTCTCTTACAGCTCGTTTCAGCAGTTTAAAAGCGAGAACATGTCGTTCAACTCGTTTTTTAGTGAGGCAGCTGAGTGTATAGCTGAGTTGATTCCCGTGGAAAACGCTGATTTGGACTTCCACAACTTGATCGTAACTGGTGAAGATGATGACGAATCCACAGCAAGTGTTGCGATGTCTCCAAAAGCATCTACAGCCTACAACAAACTTAATCGTTTTAACGAGGAACCCGAGTTTCGACAACTGCGACTTTCGAAGCGCACTACCCACCACACTGTAAGCGTTTGTGCGATCTTGGTTGGAATTGTAACACAAACTGAGTTAATATGTGCATACAGGAACTTTTGTCCTCCAACAAGCAGCTAACTTGCATTGTTTGCTGCCAGTTGAATCATGACGAGGAAAACATGCCTCACTCTCGTAAAGGCTTGAAGACCAGATACTTCTGTACTATTTGCAACATGCCACTGTGCAAGGCTTCGCGATGGGAAGACGGAAAATCGTGCTTTGATCGATTTCATCTTCTGCGTCACGTGCTGAAGCCGTGCCAACCGTCATCATCACAGCGACCAAAGAAGATTCGTCCGCCACCCCCCTCCCGCAAGCGTTCACGTGACTCAATCGAGCCAAACGAACGTGCCATTATAAGATTAGTGGCTAGAAAACGGCGCCGCTCTAGTCGTTTGATGGTACGCGGTGCATAACTCCGATGGCTGCCTTCAAAACTTTGTCCTAGCGGCTAGGAGAAAATGCAGTTTTGGAGCTGCAAGTGAGGTCTCTCTTTCAAGCACCATCTTCATATTAATTTTACACTTCTAGGCTTCATCCTTCTTTACCTTATTGCTACATGTCTTCGCTTCGTAAATGAAGCTTTACTTTCTTGAAGCAAGCTCTAGTGACCTGAAGATGATCCAGTTAAATTTTATCCTTTTTTTCTCCTACCAAAAATGCTCACTGGGGTTAAGAAAAAAATACAATAGTATAACAAGATAAAAATGGTTTATACTAAAGAATCCTACGAACGCAACAAAGCTTCAATAACTGCAGTGAAGAAGCGATACTATGAAAAGCATAGAGAAAAACTTCTACAGAAACAAAGAGAATATGATCGAGCACATAGTGAAAACAGGAAAGAAAAATACAAGGCTAATAAACTAGAAAAACAAAACCCTATCCAACAATAATGAAACATTTTTTTGTTTGAAAACAATATTAATCACAATATATACAAAGACATTGTTATCTTGAACTACAATGTATTTAGTATTCAAAGACATTTTCAAAATGCCAGTCTCAAATGCTCTTAAGAAATCACAAAAGAACCGAAGTTAACTATATAAGTTTGCCAAGAAACACAATCTAAATGTTATATGGACTTCTACAACAAATGTTATGGAAAAAGCAGTTAACGCTTTCAAGCAGTCCAAAGCTAAGACCATCATTAAGTCAATGAGAACTTTCAAGGCTAACAATGACAACGCTGCTTTAAAAGCTATCAATACTACATCGCGTAAAGTTGAAATGCAACTTAATCGATTCTATCGTATTAGAAAGGATATTATAGCACCTGCTGATAAGAAACTATTAATTAACTTTAAGGATTGGAAAGGTGATGTTGTCAAATCATATCACGTGCAAGATCGATTAATTAACATCAACAATCTATTTATAGAACCAATACAGCTCTGGAGCAGATGTAGATTTGAAAGTACTACCAACTACATCAGTAGAAGTTGAATGGTTAAATAATCCATCTGCTATGGTTGAGATACCTGGTTATATTCGTGGTAAACCAAAACTATTCAAAAAAAGCATTCCATAGATGCTGACTATTGTGTGGCTCGTATTCGAATTGATTCTATTGGTGCGAAGAGACACTTTCCATTACTTAGTTATTATGATAACGGCAGTCGCAATTTTAGTAATGATATTGTTGATAGAGAATTTATTGTTGGTAAGCAATCGCTCGAAGACATTGTAGAATTTCAGGATGCAACATATACGGTAATTGAAGGTCGTTACTGGAACGAGGGGTTCAATGATCAAATTACTAAAACCATCAGAAAGATGTTCAACGCACGACTTCAATACAAAGCAGAAGGTAATACTCTGCAAAATGTTATTAAACTAATGATTAACAGCTCGTATGGAAAATTACTTATGAAGCCAATCGTAAAACAGAAGGTACTTGTAAGTGGAGGTCAACAAAAGATTCTGGAATACACTAGAAAAATATTCATAAAATGATTTCGAGAACACCTATCAACGATAATCTGTCATTATTCGGAGAACATAAGGCATTGACACAACACCTGTTCATCTCGACATTCAAGTACTCGATTCCAGTAAGCACATTATGAACAGAGTTATGTGTCTCGCGGAGGACATCGACGCAAAAATCTGGTATCAGGACACTGACAGTATGCACATAGATTATTATGGCGTTAAACGACTTTCAGATGCTTTTAAGCTTAAATACAACAAAGAGCTAATAGGTAAACAGATGGGTCAGTTCCATGTTGATTTTGAGCTTGAAGAATCAAAAGGTAATATCTATGCTAAGGAGTCTATCTTCCTTGGTAAGAAGAGTTATTTGGATATTCTTGCTTGTGATGGTAATGATGTTCAGGGAATTCATATTCGTATGAAAGGTATCCCTGGTAAACTACTTGAAAGAAATACATATGAAACATACTTAAAACTCTATAACGGAGAGCGTATGTCGTTTGATTTGAGTGAGCTGTGTTCAATCATTATAGACACGAAATCGCTAAACGTTTCAAAGCGATTGAATTTCACAAGAAACATATCTTTCAGTTAGTATAAGCAAGTTTCGTAAATGGACTCTCTACTAACTAAGCTCTATTATGATCCAAAAACGGGATTCATAGGTGCAACTGAGCTGTACCAAAAAGCAAAAGCAATTTTTAAAACTATAACGTTAAAACAAGTCAAAGAATGGTATAAGTCACAAAGTAGCATTCAGCAGCATTCAATCCAAAACAGAAAGTATTCTGAATTCAAAATCACAAGCAACAATCCCAACGAATGGCAAATGGATCTTGCATTCTAGAAGAAGCAACCTATATTGATAACAGTTAATATCAACAGCCGAATTGGATACGCTAAATTATTGAAAAACAAACAAGCAGCTACGGTTAAAAAAGTTATTGATCAATGCATTACAGAGCATAAAGTGTCAGCGTTGATGTCGGATAATGGATCAGAATTCACAAATAATGTAATTGAAAGTTTTTTTTTGATAAAATTTCAGTTACCCATGCTAACTCTATTCCAGGAGATCATACAGTTCTTGGAAAGATAGATCGTTTTATCAGAACAAAGGCAAGACTAACAAAGATGCAGGATACTATGGGATTTAAGAAGCTTACACAAAAGCTTCAGAATATGCTATCTCTACCTACAACGATACCACTCATTCAACCATAAAAGCTTCACCAAATGAAATGGAAGGGAGGGTTGTTTTTGACGAAATTGAACACAACAAACGAGTGATTAAGCAAATACAAAAAGACATTCCAAGTGGTTCTATTGTACGTTATCGCTTGAGTCCGAAAACATTTGAAAAGGAAGGAGCAAAATACTCAAAAACTGTGTACGAAGTAGTTGGATTAGGTGGATTAAAGATGCGTATTAAGTCAAAGAATAATAATGTTCTATACAAGCCAGTCAATGACCTAAAAATTGTAAAAGCAGAGCAAACTGACGCACCAATTAATAATAATCAAATCTGGGAAATAGAAAAAATTGTTGAACACAAAACACTAAAGAATGGTAAGCACAAGTATCTAGTCAAGTGGGTTGGATATGATGACAGCTCCAATACTTGGGAGCCACAAGCCAATCTCAGATTGGTTAACAAGAACAAAATGTCAACAGCGGCGAAAAAATATTGGTCTAAATATAAATAAACATGGCATGTAACAATGTACAAGGGAAGCCAAAAAGGGCAATTACTGTACTCAGCATCATAATATCATCCAAATACAAATGTTTAAGAAGGAATTTTCTGTAATACATAAGAAGAACAGAATACTCGCTGAGCAAAACAAGGAGCTACAACAATATAAAAGGCAGATAAATATGCTTAATGAATTTGACCTCATCAAACATCAATTGATTCAAATAATCCGTATATGAAATTCAAGTATCTAATTGCTGATAGACGGTACCAATCTCGCTTGGAAGAGGTATTCAATGTTCCGTTTGATCAGATCGAAAAAAATATATATAGGAACCTACTCTATGATAGAAACGTTTTTGTGTTATCCATATACAAGTAGATATTGGTCTGAAGCCCAGACGAATTCATTCGGGACTGGTGATCGCTTAGAGTCTGAAGCTTCCTCCAGTTTTACGCATAGAACGTAGTTTAGCCATCTTAGCTTTCATCTCAGGCGATCCTTTTTTTTGGAACACCTACTCCAGTTAAATCCTTTACGGTACAGCATTTACTAAAGCTGGCTGTCCAGTATATGCTCCTAAGGCTTGAGCGCCTGTGTCAACAGCCCCGGATACAATTGGTTTAATAACTGGCCATACATTCTCTTTCAACCAAGGCCATGCTTTATCCTTGATCCAACTCCACAGCGACCCTCCACTCATTCCAGACCCCGTAAGAGCGTCACCGTCCATATTTAATGAAGCAGCGATTTCACCTGGTGAAAACACAATTGATACTCCTTTACCAGCTTGAGCAGCCTTTTTCCATTTTTTCGCATTTTCTGGATGCAGAGCTAATTTCTTTGAAGTGCCTTTAACTTGACTAGCAGTGAATGTTACTTTCAATGTCTTTAGGAACTTCTTTTTCTGAGCGTCTGAGAGCTCATCGCAAGTGACCGTAATATAAGTGTTCATATTTGCGTAAACGATGTATATTTCAAGAAACAAAAAGGATTTCAAAAAAATTAAATAAATGTTCAGCTCTATAGTGCAAATGTCTTAGCTTTCTTATTTTTTTTTTTGAAGCCCTCGGAGCGTCGATTCATGATCCTTTCATCATAGCTTTCTCTTTACTGAAACCGTTAGTACTCTCTTTTATTATAAATTATTGAGAGTTTGCAATAGTCTTTCTTGGTTACTACGCGCAGGGATTTGCCTCGAAGGTTTGGATATCGCACTTTTATAATTTTTGAATTCATTATCTATTAGAACCTTAGGTTGCTACACAAGTTCTCTAAGCTCTGCTCTATATAATAAAATACGATTAAAAAGCTCGTCGAATTAATTTTAATTCTCTTATTAATCGTCGATTCAGAACATTGTGAACTCACGTTCACAACCGTAATTAGCCCAACAACACATGCTATTGCGCAGAGACTGCAGCAGCTCCACCGTCACCAACTACCCACTATAATAACGCCGCTTCCAGATTCTCACCCATAGCAGAGCAAGAAGCAGACACTCACCCCAGCTAGCTGATTCCTCTCTCTTCGTAGGTCGGCGAAGCTCGCACAATCGCAAAGAGACGACCTGTACACAAAGCATTACCACCTATCACCAACACAACGAAAACGCGGTCCAGTAGCACCGACGGTTCCGTCAAGAACGCGCACAGCCTAGCTCTCTCTTTCCTACCCGCTGCGCCTTTCAGACCTTATCTCGCCTACGACATGCAATAGCTCAGTAACAGCACCTACCCAAGCAACCGCTTGCACCCAAGCAGCACGATTTTACCTCGACGAGGAAACCTTCCTTGTCAAGCGCCTTCGCGTCTCTTTCACGCCTTGTTTAGGCCTACCCTTTGGTTTTTACTTTTCCATTTTACCAGGTATAACAAGTATCGAAGGTTGTTACTTTAAAGAACAGCTCGTTTTTAGCCCCCAAGCAGGCAAAAACTTTTTATGATATTTCGTAAGGTCCCCATACTAAAAGAGAAATACCCTTTTTGATAACTTTGGCCCCCTGGTTTGATGCCGGTTTAAATAGAAACTCATCCAACATTCTAATCGTGAAGCATCAGAATACCTCAACGGAATGAGCAAGTGTTATTAATACGGTTTTTTCATCTGCTTTTGGTCCCAGAAAAGATGATAATAAACTGCGATTCCATACCAATCATTGGTAAACACTGAATCACAGAGCAACTCTAACACGTAAAAATATTAAACCCAGAGTAACACTAATTGTAGGGGGATAATATATCCAACGAGCTTTTCGGGATCAATACATTGTGTAAGAAGTAGCTCAGGAAAGGAGGCAAATCGCTACTATCTCGACACTATCGGTTTAGACAGGCTTTGAGAGAGAAGTTTACTGAGCAAAAACCACGAAAGTAACCATGTATTCAGTTTGAAAACTTGCAGCTAATTTGACACACCAACTTTTGCCAGACTGCCTGGGCCAGACGATCAAGGTTTTCTTTCGTAGCTCTTTCGCCATACTTGTCAATCAACTGCACCAGCGCCGGGTCCAGCACAATTGTCCGAGAAACGTTGAGGGTGGACCGTGTGAGAATTTCAGCATCAACTCGCTTCAAAGTGGAGCTCGCTTCCATCACTTCCACTAAATCAATCCAGAGACGTTTTCCTCCGTGAAGAATCACGTTTGGCACGCGAGGATCTCCATGCACCAGGTTATTCGCGTGAAGCTGCCATAACAGTTCAAAGAGGCTTCGTACTTCTTGTTGTGTCCTTGGGCGAGGCAGAGGTTCCCCAACTGGAGACAGCAATAGTGCTGCACCTTCAGGAGTTATGACCTCTCCCACAAGACTTGTTGTCAAGCCTGTATGCTGGGCACACGTCAAGGCCTTCTTCTCTTGATAAAGATGTCCCACGGAACATTTCTCCACAAGTTTTAGTGCAAAAACCTCCCCTTCGCGTCGAATGACCTTAAACACGCGTCCATGAGCGCCACGACCAAGAAACGCATCGCCCTCCACCACGTCGACGCCCAAACACGAGCAAGCAAGAGTCAAGAGCGACACCCACGGAGATACGTTGTCAGTAATGAAGTTCCGAAACAATGATTTCGATCCGTTGTTGGTCCACTTTGCAATTTGAACTTTGACAACGACCGATTTGTGGCTTTTAATCAACCAAAATGAGCGGCGATCAAACAGAATAGCGCTTGCTGGTGCCTCGGGGAGAAGATTCTGTAGATATCGTGCCACTTGTCCAAACGCAGCTTCAGTTATGGTGAGCTTGCTTTCGAATAGAATGAGGCAGTCAAACAATTCTTCCTCTGCTACTCCAAACCGAAATCCACTCGGACGTGGCACTCCATCGTTTGGTACTGGCTTGCCACGAAACATACCGCGGTGAGTCGCAAATCCATCCGGTTGAGATCTTTATTCTTGGTCACAACTGCGTACTGGGACAACCATTCATATCTCTCGCTATTGACGAAGACCATACCACAGCTGTGTAAGATGTCGCTGAAATACGGAGTAATAAAGGCGTCGAAATCAGTCTCATCCGTAATGGCGTCGGCTTTAATCTGAGTTTCCTCCGACCAAAATGCTTCTCCATCTCCTATTGGCGCAACTTCAATGATCAATTGGTCCTTTTCCAATCTTCGAAGCTCAAGTTGACCCAATGCCGCATCAGAGTAGGAGTTTGACGGTTTGTGTGGCAAAGAGGCCACAAGTTGCTCAAGTTGCATTTCAAGCCGCATTTGCCGAACGTTAGTCTCTCGAAGCAGAGCCCATGAATCGTGTTCGCTCGTGGCACCTTCCGGAACCACCACCAACACGTGGATTTCCCCTCGTTTTGGTTGAAATTCCTCGCCGTAGTAATCCTCAATCCAGTTTAACTCGTCCATGTGTGCAAAGCCTTCGGGGTGTCCATTCTCATCGAGCGTCACAGCTTCCGCGCCGCTTCTATCGAGCCATGTATTGTCGCCCATCCTGGCGAGGAACAGCTCCAGTTTGCGAGCAGCACACGTGATGTCCTCATTCTCCTTCTTGATGGCCTTCTTCAAGTCTCCCACAGACTCGCTCGCATCAATCGTCACGGAGAAGGCGTTTCCCTTCACCCCAGCGAGCGCACAGAACAGCTTCACCATGCTTCCAATTCCTTTCTGTGAGCGAGGGACGTTCTCTCTATCCATATTTCAGCCAATCAAATGGTGCAACCCAACGTTGGGTTTCCATCTGGGTGATTGAACAACTGTAGATACAAAATATATTTATTTATATAGACACAAAAAAGCATGGATATCACTAGCAGTACGTATCTATCCGATACCGATAATACTGGTTAGAATACAAGGCTTCACTGGGAATAAAAAAATAGCTTAAAATAAAAAATAGCTTAAAATAATTCAAAAACAAATAGAAAAGGAAGTTTCATATAATTAAGATATACATATATCCGTTTCCAGAAAATATTCGTCAAGTCAGTGTTTTTACTTCCCTTCACTGGAAAACATCAAAATTCGTTTCGAAAGTTAATCAACTTAGGCTGTCTCCCCAGTATGCATTTGTGTTGAAGCAGTTACGATTTTGTGCCAATACCTTTTCAACTTATACATAAAATACAATACATAAATTCTAAAGTATTGTGATGCTCTATATGGCCTTGAGAAATCTTCGTCGCCTGCGGCAGGTGATCTGCCTATTCTTCAGCTTGTTGGCACATTGATATCCAGTGTCGCCGTGTACATGGAGCAAAATAGCATACTTTTCACATTACCTTGGTAATCTATTCAAAGCAACGGTTTACCGTCATAGGAACATACTTTTGAAGGATTTCCAGTATACCTAACAGCAGCTCGACATGAATGATAACCAGACGCCATTTTCCCCCTGTTTCCTCGCTCAATTGGACGTCAAAAATGTCGCCGCCGTATTAATGACGGCAGCGACATCGTCCACGTGCGCTTGGATAGCAGCGTCGTCGTCCTCAAAGACAATACAGTCAGAGATGCCTGGGAATGCAGCTCCCTTGTATCCCTCGTAGAATCCCGGTCCGAAGATCATGTGCTTGAACCACGGACGATGCGGAAGTCCAGCATCAGAGAGCAAATAGCGCTCAAGACTCACGAGCTTCTTGTTCCAGCTATGACGCTCAGCTTCAAGCTTGCGAATCTCTTTTTTCTTCTTTGGATTCTTCTTGGCAAACTCTGCAATTCGTGCTTGAAAGACTTCAGCGTTGCTGCTAAACTTTTTGATCGCTTCATGGAGCTCAGCATAATCAACGTGACGTCCCATTTCTGTCGTGATCTTCTCGTAACCAGCCAAATCCTCTTGCATCACAAGTCCGTAAGTAGAGAAGTCGAATGGAACGATAGCGTTGTCCACTAAGCGCAGTGTGATCAGACCCCACCACTTCGCCATCGTGGTGTGCGTTGCATAGTGCGGGTCACCTACAGTTTCCATGTACGGAATGCTGTCCATAGTACTGTGATACGTTCCGTACATCGCAGTACCGACAGTGTACCCCAGGTTTGCAGAGATAATACCAAGGTGCTGGTAGAACGCCGTAAAGTCAGTACCGGAGCCCAAGAACTGGATAAGATGATCAGGAGCCAACGTCCCATCATCGACGCCAGCCGCAAGGCTCGATCGTCGAATAGCAGTCTGACTTACCCACTGCTCGTACAAGTTCTCAGTAACTTCGACGCCATGGAACGGATTGCCAGGAATGAGTTGTGCTGTTTCTTGGAGAAATTTAGCGATCGACGGAGTGCCTCCCGAGCTCACGAAAGGACCAACCACGTTGTCCACGTTGACGTACGCTACTGCCTGCTTCTTGAGTAATTCGGCGTGATCCTCTGCGAATTCCGTACTGCCCAGTAAACCCAGTTCCTCGCCATCCCACGACGCGATGACAAGAGTACGACGTGGCTTCCAGCCGTCCTTCAGTAGGTCACCCAGTCCACGAGCAATCTCCAGCATCACAGCCGACGCACTGGAAGGGTCAACAGCACCACACACCCACGCGTCACGGTGATTGCCGATAATGACCATTTGATCCGGTTCTTCAGTGCCTTCAATGGTACCGATAACGTCCCAGATCGGACCAATACTATTGTCCATAGCAACATCCAAATTCAATACTGTAGCGTCATCGTCACCCACGAAGTATCCACCGTTGTCCAGGTTTAGTGCACCTTGCCAAGACTGAGGAGCCTTCTTGCCTCCAAGTGACTCGAGAATGTAGCGAGCCTGACCGTAGGAAAGTGGCAGTGTAGGGATGTGTGGGATGGTTTTACACTCTTCCTTGCTCAGATATGGCTCGCCAGGTAGCGATGGGAAGCCCGGAGTAAGTGGATCGCCACCATAGATCGAGTTGTACTGCACTGATCCACGTTGGAAAGATCCTTCTGGTCTCCATGGGCCTTCCGGGTAAACTGGTCCTTGAGCGTATCCGTCATCTAGTGGGTCCGAGTAGATCAACACTCCAGCCATGCCATGTTGCTCTGCTAACATGACCTTGAGGCCTCGGAAATTGCCTCCATACCTCACTAGTGCGATCTTTCCCTCCAATGTGACGTTATTGTCTTTTAACCATTGGAAATCCACAGGTCTGGCGTAGTTCACATACACAACTGAAGCTGTGACGTTGCCAGAGTCCGAGTATCCGAGATATGGGGGCAAAGCATCATCGTTACTGGTGCACGAGTCTCCTGGGATACTGGCTTCGGTCAGGTTTAACTCTCTGGCTGCCTCGCTTGGAGCAAGAATGCTCAGCTTTCAGTGGATCGGCAGTGATAGCAGTGGGTAATACTCCACGATCTCGGCTTTAAGTCCGAAAGACTCAAACTGTTCGGCTGTAAACAGTGCCGTTTTGTAGTCCTGGTGGCTACCGGCCGGATGGGGGACACTGGCGTATGCTCCGTGGAATTTACGGATCTCTGTGGTGTCCACGGAGTCCAAGAATTTGCTCTCGAGCTTCGAGAGACCATCACTCTCGTTTTGGTCCTTGTGTTTATGACTGAATGTCGTGGTCTCGTGTACCTCATTCTGGGCCTTCTGATGTACTTCGGGGGCCACCAAGGAGCTTATTGAGCTCGTTTTGCTTTCCTCTCGTCCTCTAACGGAGTCATAATGGCTCTGCAGCAGCATGTAGCTGGCTACGACCAGCAACAACGTCGCAATACCCACAGAACGCCATAATTTGCTAGACACGTGCGGTCTCTCGCCGATATCGGGAACCTCACGGCCGTGAAAGGTTCCATACACCTCCGACGGATCCTCCAGTGTCTCATGATCGTCATATCTAGTGCGCGCGGGCCCGGGACTCGCCAGCGGCGTCGTCAACGGCATCATCTTCGACTGTCTCCTACACGCCCTTTTGCAGACTGAAGTACACTCATATGACTTTACGCAAGTGACTTGATTGGCTAATATGGAAATCTGATTCTAACGGCAAGAACACAAAATAAGGTGCTAAACACTATTTGATGTTAGAAATGCCACATGAAATTGGGAGTTGGGTCCTTGACGACGTCAACCATTTTGAAGTTGTGCCATTCGGCAATTGAGCTACTCGAAGTCTAAGGTATCCACTGCGATGTCGGTCCGAGACGATCTCGTACAGCAAGGTGTGCGCTTCCTGCAGCACCCGAAGGTGCAAGACACGCCGCTGTCGGAGCGACTGCAGTTCTTGGAGAAGAAGGGGCTCACACCCAAGGAGATCGCGGCGGCGCTCAAACTCAACGACGAGAAGAATGCGGCACGCGCGGCGCAAGCCGTTGCCTCCGTTGTACGTACATACACTTAAATTAACTGTAATCAGCATTGTCTTGCATGCTAATTGCCGCTATTTTATGACTATAGACGAGCGGCAAGAGCGGGGAGCGACTGCAAGGACGCGTGGGCGTTGTTGTGGGAGGGAATGTCGGGTTAGGACAGCTAATTGCCGTCAAACTGGCCAAGGAAGGCGCAAAACTCGCTATTATAGGAGCCAAGGGAGCAGACGCTATAAATTCGACCCAGACCAAGAGTGTGGAGGCTCAGATCCGAGGGCTGGAGGGTGCAACACCCGCTAAGGTCTACGAAGGGGAGCTGCAGAGCTGGAGCTTCATAGATGCAACGTACGCAGCTATCGCCAAGGAGTTCGGACGCATTGACTTCGTAGTCAACTGCGTTCCAGCTCCAAAAGACAGTGGCGTGAAGCCTACAGCTCTAGTAGATGTGGATGCTGCAGCGTGGGATGAAGCCATGGGGGTCTCTGCCAAGGCAGTCTTTCTCAGTTGTAAGCGCGCAGTGCAGCAGATGCTGACGCAGGACAACGGAGCTGTTCGTGGACGTATTGTCAACATCTCATCGCTGTACGGAATGGTCGCGCGCAAGGGCCACTTCACATTTGGTGTGGGCAAAGCAGCGATCGTTCAACTGACTCGCCAGATCGCGGCCGAGTACGCGGCGAGCGGCATTGTGTGCAACGCGGTGGCCCCAGGATTTATTGACGACTCCATCAGCCGTGACGATTGTCTCGCTCCAGCATCGAATAACCGGATTCCAGCTGAAGAGCCTGGCAAGGCGATGGATGTGGCCAACGCAGTCACGTTCCTTGTATCGGACGATGCTCGCTACGTTCACGGCGTCAACTTGCTCGTGGACGGAGGCTACATGGCTTGCTAGAACCAGCATTAACCAACAATCCACCTGTTTTGCTGTTGTTTCCCTGTATTATAAGACAAAGTCTAGAACTTGCCGCCTGTGAAGACGTTGATGGCATACGAGAAGGCAGCAAAACCAGCGCAGCCGAGACACTGTGCCTGGATGCCCTGGCCAGCTGCCAAAGCTGCACCCGTCGCACAACCTGCCACCAGTTCATTGCCCACGTCGTGTCGTCCACGGATTTTCTCGGTCGCGCACTCGAGACCTGAGAACATGGCCGAAATGACGAGGAAGTTGTTACCCCAATAGCGGCACTTGCCTGCTGTGACTCTCCATGATCCGGCCAGCTGCAACGCAGTATCAATGTTGATTAGCCTCACAGCGCATGGTTCAGGATAGTAATAAAAGAGCAGCCGTACCGACTCGCGCCAAGGTACTTTGGGCAGTTCTCTCTGGCCGGGGAGCGGCACAGGCGGCGTGATGCCTTCGTAGCTGCCCAACACTAGACCGAAAACGTTGCCCATGACGTACCCTACAGTGATAGATACAACAGAGAGTGTTAGCTGTAATTATTTCAGTTTATTCGGCACAATAAAACGTACCCATGGCCGCTGAGAGGAAGAACTTGCCAGCGCACGACTCCGTGATGGGGTTGGGCTGTTGCCATTGCAGGATCTGCGGCGGGTACGCGGGAAGGAACGGATGAATGCCCACGGTGTCGTGAAGTAGGTGCATGTTGAGGAAAGAGCGAGGAAACAGGAACGGGTTGGGTGGCGTCTCCTTGCTCAGGTCCTCCACGTGCACGCCCAGCCGTGCGTTGGCGTCGTCCTCTCCATTGGCCATTGCACCAAGTCAAAAATGTGCGTGCTACACGAGATCTACAAAAAATATGGTGTGGTAGACACGATTTGGTTTCAGCCAATCAAACGGCGAAGCTGCAACGTTTTTGGTCCGATCCATAATAGAGCACTTAAGCAGATTGAAAACGAAACGAATTCCTGAGAAAATCTGATAATATCTGAGGCAGCGGCGCCGTTTTTGGGACGGTAAACTTCGTTGCCAAACACAAAACAAAACGGAATCAGAAGGAGAATTTCCCCCGCTGGCATGGAATCTCAAGGAGACGAGGCTCTGGAGGCAGCGTCACCTCAGCGTCAAGTGACCCTGCTGCTTCATCTGGCGCGCACAAGAAGAATCCAAGGCGACTGGGAGGCCGCACACCGTCTCCATCGGCTCGCGCTAGCAGTGCTAAACGACGCAAGCCCTCGCTATTCTATTCCTCGTGTCCGCTTTGATATCGAGGAGGTAACAGAGGACACGTGCCTCTTCTTCCATCTCCGCTATCTATGGCCGATGGCCGAGCGCGCTGAGTAGCATATTTTATCATGTCGTCGAGCACATCAGCTCAAGGAGCGGGTGGCTCTTAGAGGGGAATCTGGATTTGATTAGCTCAAGGTTAGCGGAGTATAGCAGAGCGGTGCACGTGCTTGGAGCTGAGCTCGCCTTTGTGTGGGGTTTTGTCGACGGGACAGTGAGGGGTACCTGCAGACCAACTGGGGCTGATGCGCAGCGAAGTGTTTACAACGGGCACAAGAGAAAACATGGGCTAAAATTCCAGAGCGTTGTGACACCGGATGGTCTAGTCGCTCATCTTTATGGCCCGGTTGAGGGCCGCAGGCACGATGTTGTCTTGCTCCGACAGTCTTTTTGAGCTCTGGCGACGACTCTGCGCGATCCTCGTCCCCGTCCTCAGAAACTGTGACGCCTTGCTGCTCTTGGGCGTCGCTCGAAGTTGACTGAGCCAGCAAGAGAGGCCCCTCTCCAGACATGTGCAGCGATGCGTCTTCTGCGTCTCCACCTGCACGGAAGTCTCCATCAATTAGATCACTTAGCGAGTCGTCGCTCTCGATGCTGGCCATTGACAGGATGGAAAAAATGTTTGGCAGGAATGCTGCTCTGTTCTGGAATTCGTTTTCGTTGTGCACTGCTTAAGGTCCTTTTACACAGTCGAAACGAATCTCTGCGATGCTTTTTTTCGTTGCGAATAGCGTTTTCGTCCTCTTGTTTAAGGCTCTAATAAACTTGAAGGGTTTGTAGTTTTCGTGCTTCGCAATGAGGGATGGAGCCCGACACCGCCGAGTAGGACCTCAGTACCGTGACGTTGAGAGGTATCACAGGCGCATACTCACCGTAATTGCGCATATTAGCACCGCAAAAGAATTTGTACACACCGTATGCGGGGCCGAAATCACACAGCAATGTCCTTACGGCACACGCTTAGGGATAGACTAGAGACTGCAATTATCGTAGACAAAAATATTCCTGGCATATACCTTCTCGTCTATACTTTCAAAATGCGTTCCACAGAGCGGAAACTCAAATACTGTCACATACTATCCCTGGTTCCTCTATTGTGTTTAAGCTTATGCGGTTATTATTATCCCAGAATTCTACACTTGCAACCGTATCCAATCGACTCGACGAGCTCTCCATTAGTGGTATTCAACCGGAGATGCATTAACATACGTTTAAAATGCAGTGAGTCGAATGTATTTTAATGAACAAGGACAAATATTTGCCTGGCAGACACATTTCCATGCCGTGTAAAGTTTGCTCCGATCACGACAACCAAAATAAGCTGCTCTAGAAAACATTGGAACTAGAAGGGTTGCCAAAATTGAACCAACGTAGAAAACCCAATTTTGCTGCACCTTCGGTGAGAGCCATGCCTCAGCGTTTGATGGAAAATCTTCTACTAACATAACATATAATAGTGATATATCCGCATTCAATGATACGATACACCAGAGACCATTAGGCGCCCGAGCCTCCCGTCGACATTACTATGGCGTAGGCCAACGAGGTCTACAGTGTCATAATCAAGCTTTACTGGACCCTTCCTACCAAAGTATCGGTCACGAATAACAAATCGAGGTGTAACCTCGCACGTAAAATATCACCCATGGAGAGCTTGCTATAGCTTCAACTAAACACCAAAAGCGGACCAACTACAAAAAAATGTGTATCTCGCCGTCAACCCAGGGGGATTGAGGGTGTGTTATGTAAATCAGCCTTACCAACCCGTCTGAAGTGAATTTCAGCAGAATATAAACAGTTTAGCTGATTCATTGATAAGCATAAGCTGGTACTGAACACGATTTTATTATCAGCTAAAAACTAATTGTATTGTTTAAAATGATGCCATTCAAAAGGTGCAAAAAATAGAGAGTATTTGTTTACTGCCTAATCAAAAGACGCACTTAGTGCTGAACGATCCAGAGCAGAATCGCTGCAACTTCGAGAAGCCGGATACACTCTGGATCAGCCCCCACAAAGGGATTAGCACTAGCTAACATGTACGCTCACGTTACTCTTCTCCATCTGAAGAATTAGCATCGCAATAATTCTCACGCTCATGAGCCTCGAAAGAACTCGTGAGCCATGTGTTTTCTGTTTTCGTCGTCCAAACCATAGAATGCTGTCGCAATATCTTCACGGGTTGCAAGAATCGAACGTGCTCATCCACTTCCAGTGCATCGGTGAACAATCCCATGAAGTGTTTGATCGCTATGTCAGCTCTCGTATACGGGACCACTTGCTTTCCTTCTCACCGCAAAAAATTGAATGTGCAAGTAACTCCTGTGCTTTTGCGATTTTTGCAAGAATTCACTGATCATCTAACCATTTGAGCGTCTCTTCGAAAGTGTCCCTGTACTTAATGTTGTCGTAGATGATGCGTTAATTTCAGACTCAGGTTCGTCGTCACTTAGGTCGCTAGGCCCTACATCGTTGCTCAAATCACAGGACTGATGTACGGCGACGTTAGGTTGTTCCTAGAGCTCGATACTTCGCCCCCGAGCACCACTAGTTCCTGTATCGAGTTCGCTTGGCTGATGTTGGCGTATATGCGCGGCATGGTTGCCTGTCGCCAAACATCGATATAGAATTTTATCCAATTCTTTGTACATAAACAAAGGACGAGTACTAAACTCTCGTGCTTGCGGGTATCCTTGCAGAACTTGTTCCCACACAGCCGCTGGCGCTGTCGGTGTATCCGTGACAGGATCCCAATCAAAACCGCTATTGTTCTTAAGAGCTAAAAACGTTTTGTTCTTCTTCTTCAATCCGTTGAGTTTGTTTTGAAGCTTTTTCTTGGATGCCTGTTGACCGATTGGCTAGATCCTGTTTAAAGTGTCAGTATTTTAGTCCATGATGCTTTCTTCAAGTTACCGTCATACGAAGTACCAAGTCGCTCGACAACGTCCACCAGAATGTGAACAAAACGAGCAACACTCTCGTCAGTCCAGCTAAAAGAAATATTTGTTAAAGTTCAATACGTGATGTTGTGTAGTTTGATGTAAAATTGAAAATGATCAAAGAATTCAGAACAACCAATATCCCTCTGTCGCAACGCATGACACACTCTTTTGGAATCACATATGAAAGTGCTAACCATTGCCTGAGCGAGCTGACCTCTACTAAATAGAGGATTCCCCAAAACGGATGTATTTAACCACCGAAACGTTTGTGTGGATGTGTTGTTCGATCATCACATCAAACACTGTTCTTCTAACTGGAAGAGATGAGCGAAAAATACACGAGCCTCAGTGGCAACCGAGACAAGACCCAAAGCGACAGCGATTCAGAGCTAGAGTACGGCATTCTCATAGGCTTTTTGCCTTTGCTGCAAGACTACTTCACATCCAACTACAGTGGCGAGCGTCTCATGATTGTTTTGTACATTTTGTCCGGAAAAAGCAATCGAGATGCTCTAGAACGCTCTCAGCACGGTCCTGGTACAATTTCTACAGTCTTGCGACAAGAAATTGCTATTATTAAAGCTCGATATTACGAGTACGTACAGCAACCGACCAACAAAACGCCTACTAGAATTCGATGTTCCACGAAGTTTTTCCGTATATTAAAGTCTGTATCAGAACCCTAGATGGAACTCATGTCCCTGCCGTACCTCCAGCCTCAAT